TCAGGCCACCTAAGCCTTTTACCTTTCTCCCCACTTTATTGGAAAAGCAATCAAACCACAATCTTCCCATTTTTCTTGGGTTCTGGATTTCTGTGTTTAGTGTAGCAATGTTGATCTACCCTGTCATTCAAATAACCCCCCATGCTTCGGTATCAGAGGCCGTAAAAATATTTCTCTTCTAGCCTTGTCACGAAGATATTTTATGGCAGGGGCTTGGGCAACAGAATCTAACATTTAGTAGAAGTTATCCAACAAGGACAAGAGGTTGAATGCTCTTTTTTGATTAAAGTGGTTTATTAAAACACATCTAGTTGATTAGTTTGTGCTGCATTGAGCTCAGAGTAAATGAACATGTCTTCAGAACATCTTATTGATTCAGGCGAAGATGAAGAAATACTGGCTTTTTTCTGTAAATAACCTTACATAAAATTGCCACTAAATTGCAGCAGAGTTTCTCATATTATCAGGGTTTGAGAAAGAATTGCTAGCAGCTGGTAACTACTGTATTTGGCTTCCCATTCCACTGGAAATCCAGCCAAGTTTTTTTCTGTCTGTAGCCAATTAAAAACATTTCACTATAAAGGATGTTATTGCATGTGTATGTGATTAATTGGGAGAAAAGACAAATATTCATGGTAATTCCACACCAAATAAAATACTGTCCTATTAAAAATAAGCATTTTGTTTCAAACAGAATATGCATAATGAATATGACACTCAACTGTTTTGGGGTTTTTTTTCTGGTAATGTGAAGGGAAAAATTTGCCAAAGAATTGTATGGAAAACAAGACAGGAGGTCATGGCTGCTGCTTTAGTCGATAACAGAGTTTTGACCTCTAAAGATGTTACGCCAAGTCTGAGCCACAAATTTGAAGTGACATCTTCTTTTCTTTGCTAGACAAGTTCATTTTTTCTGCAACATAATTAACAAGCTAAAGGGGTTCTCACGTAATCTACTTAGCATGCAGGGTGTTTGTAAGCTAGTGTCTGGTGCTCCAGTGTAGACTATACCCATCACTCATGTTCTTGCCCTTGCCACAGTCCCCAAAGCATTTCATATGTTGTATATTACACCTAAAATCACCTAGCTTGCACCTTTACACTCTTAGTCCCTCAGTCTTTTTCCATGACACTCCTGCAGCTTCCCTGGCTGCTCCCATCCTCTGATCCCCCCATGCTCTGCCCCAGAAGACTCCCTGCTCCTCTGCCGTGTGCTGCAGCTGCTGGTCTTCTGCTCCATGAGCCATTGGCCCTCTGCTGCAGCAGGTTCCCCAATCCTCTGCAGGGACCTCTCCACTCTGTCCTCTTCCTGGATGCTGCGACCCCTTCAGAAACCAAACTGCAACGACCTCTTGCTTCTATCTTAATTGGTCATCCGCTCACTGCTTACCTCAGCTCATAAGTAAAGCAGAAGGGACTCTTGCTTACCAGCTCCCTGGGGTTGTTCAGTACACATTCTGGGCGTTTAGTATGCAGAAAGACATATCATAGAAGGCACTACAGAGTTCCTTCAATAAAGGAGATGAGAAGGAGAATTCTGAATCCTTGAATACTTGGTCAACTTTGCCACATAGAAATCATACCTCTGCTGCAGGTGATCTTGTTTTCATTAATCTTCAGACGAACATGAAAGCACTGGCAGCCCTGATCTTTTTATTATCCTGCTCTGGTAGCTCTTAGATTGTGATCAGTCTCAAGCTGTCCTGTAATGTATGAATGTGCAATATATCCCATTTAGTTGACTTCTTTGAGCTGGTTCTCCACCCCACCCCCACTCCAACCCCTCCTTCATTCTGGCATCCCTGGGCTCTGTTGCTCTTTTATTGATATCAAATGGAAGGAACTGAAGGGTTTTAATGTTTCTTCTTGGAATGGAGCTCTAGGTTTGAATATGCGTACTGCAAACAAAATGTTCAGTTGTAATCCTTTTCAGGGCTTATAATGATGACAAATGTGGGTGGATTTTCATGGGCCCAGCATGGGCACTCCAGATTCTAAAGTAATGACTCTACCAAATTTAAAGGCATCTTTGTTCCAAGACTGGCAGCACTATAGCTATTCAGTGAAACAACTGTAGCCGTTTTTACCGTTTTTTTAAATGCTAGCAAGACATCAAGTCAAAAATATCTAAAGTGTTCAGCCTGAGGCAGTATAACATTTCAACCCAAATCCTCGAGTTTGGCAAAAGTTTATAAGAAAATGAAAATTGTTTTCTGGTGGAAATTCTAATTATATACTATTTGAGACAATATATTCATGTAACTTTTTCAGAAAAGTGATATAAACAGGTCAAAACAGGCCATGGACTATATTAGGAGCCCAATCTTCTGGGGTTTCCAGAGGCTTCTCTATAGATTAGTAAGATTAAAGAAAACCACTCTACCTCATGGGACTGAGTGCTCAGTCTAGAAGATCCCAGTAAGCATCTCTGTGACTCCTAGTTTCCATTCTCAAACTGTGGATTTGTGTCTCCAAAGATAGTAGAGTTTAGAATATCTATCTGTCTATATATCAAAGTATGAAGTACAAATGTATCTAGCAGAATATGGAGATAAGAGACAACAGACCTGATTACCTAACCATCAGCCCCCTTGTTTTTCTGCAAATTTGTGTACACAGAGTCAAGCCCTTACCTCTCTCTAAAAGTATGAAGTTTCAAGAACTTAAATTAATAGAGGATTGTTGAGGGGGGGAGTAGATCTGGGCAAGGAGGAGGAGTCTGGAGATAAAATGCAAGGAGGTAGGGGCAGTAGAAACAAAGGAAAAACATGTTTGAGCAGAATATTCCGGAAGTCTTGAGGGATAAGTTTCTGAGCATAGCCTCTCCATTGATTTGAGATCTAGTGAGGGAATGGTATGGTAGAAGGGAAAACTTATCATGGCAGCAGGCTTGCCAGACCATGAGAAAGACCCTGTTTGGGAATATTTTAATGAAGTTCCTCCACTTGTGGGTAAGATAGGCATGCATCCAAAATGCAAACAGCACAACAAAGAGATGCAAGGCCTTGTTGCCCAAATGAAACATCATGACAAGTGTTCTCTCTCAGGAGGAAGCTGCTTTGAGGATGAGGAATGGAACAACAATTAATTTGAGGGTTCCTGACCAGTGATTTAAATCAAGTTGATTTAAATCAAATCCACCCTGACCTCTAATGAAGAAAAAAAGCCAAATCCCCAAATGCTTACTCATATTTTACTTTGCTAGGGTGACCATCAGTCCTGGTTTAGCTGGGACAATCCTGGATTTTCTTGTGTGTTTTATATGTTGTACACAAACCTATGGGCAGGAATCGGTCTTTGCGCTTTTGGCCGTGATGTTTTAAAAAAAGGAAGCGGAAGTATCGCATCTGTTCATAAGCCTTGCAGAATAGGTGTGCGAGGTCTTATGGAAGAAAAGGATGTGCAGTGGAGAGAGACTACGGAGTTCATATTATAAATGTTTTTCTAGCTGACTACTTTTTCAAGAGAAGACTAAGACAGTCACCCTGCTGGGGTCACCTGACGCCAGCTGTCTTTCCTGCTTGGTGCAGGGGGCTGGACCCGATGATCTTCTGAGGTCTCTTCCAGCTTTACAATCTGTCTGTCTATCTATAACTATGCCCCATGCCCCTGCCCACCTGCCTCTGCCTGCAGCAGCACTGCTCACCTGTGTGAGGAAGAGGGCAGTGTCCTGGATTTCCTTAAAAATAAGGTGATCACCCTATATTTTGCCACCTCTGAAACATAACCTCAGATGAACTCAGAGATTAGCCCAAAGAAAGACCAAAGTATAACATACACAAGAATTTCAGAACTTAGCTCATAAGGATTTTTTTTCTACAAAACAAATCTCACTTTAACAAAAAACACAATTTGCCTGAAACTATTTGGGATTTTAATGGTGATTCACTGTAAATGGAGTTTCATTATTTCTAAGTTCATTCTAAGTGGACTCCACTGTGTTTGACTAAAGGGGTAATTTGGCAAATACTCACTGTTACAAGATGCTTTATCGCAGCATTTCAATGCACACGTTTCTGTTGTGTAACGGATTTGATCCCTGTATCCTTAAATGTATTCAGAAGTGGCATAGCAACTAGCAAAGGAAAAATGAAACATTTCCACAATGGATTAAGGACAAGAAACAAATGAAACTCCTCATAGACAAGACTAATATAAAAATGCAAATTTGAGTTGATGGTAGAAGGGATAAAATGCCACCGTTATCTGTGTCTACTGAGAACAGAAAGTCTCAAAAGAAAGAATGAACTCATCAGACTCCAAAAAAGCAGTCACAGGAGATTACTATACAAGTAGAAAGCACAGAGAGGAGGCATTACTTTTTTGGCAGCCTGAATTTTAAGACTCATAATTAAGATGATCTTCCTTTTGGAGAACAAAATGTGTTTTCCAAAGGTTTATCTTCAGTGAAGACACAGATTAAATTGGCAATAAAAATAAGGAAAAGAAGGGAGCTGTGTCAAGAACAGGCTTTGTGGATGCAAGTCAGAGGTTTTTTTTTTTAATTTCTTCACTAGCTTGCCAAGACAGCAAGAAATTCTCCATGAGAAGATAGGCTTATGCTTTTGGGAAAGGTTTACAGGGCCAGGTCATAGCTGATGGTAAATCTAATGACTTGTTTTCCCAGATAAACTACTTCAGCATACATCTGTCTGCTTGACAAAAACCTGATGATATTCACTTGTTGAAGTAGGGAAAATAGTATATATGACTCTTTGTGGGAAAGGGTTGGATACAAATTGAAAAACCAAACAGCACCACCACAGTGATGATATGCTTTAGTAAATGCTGGTTTAAAAACAAAAAACAAGATCATTGAAGATCTCCAAGATGGTCTTTTTGATGTGGCATTGGAACTGGTTATGAGTTTTCTGTTCAGTAAAGAAATGCTACACAGGTGGGAAGAGGGTATCACTTAGGCTTCTGTTAGCCAGAGATAAGTTCTTGTTAGCAAGATATGATACCAGTGCTTACATTAAGTATTTTGTCATCACTAGTCAATTTTTTATTTTTAGTTTTCCAGTATTCAGCAATGGCAGTGCAAGCTTCTCCAGATGGCACTAACATAGTGCAGCCCTAATGTGGACTGACCAGATTTAAGGGTTGGTTTGTCTCCATTACAAAGCCAAGAGATATTGTCCTCAAACATGATGACTTGTGGTAATAATACAAAGGGCTATAGGCCAACATCAGACCCATTCCACCCAGGACCCCAACAACCATCAGACAGTAATCTCTCTCATTACGGGCCTGGGCTGGAGTTGCATATTCAACTTGGATGTTAAGGATTTTATATTAAAATACAAATCCCTTTAGTCACCCTCCAGAGCTTTGTGAAATTCATTAGTTAGTGACCATGAAGGATTTCCAATGGTAAGTGATAGGGTGCCTTTGTAAGGATTCTCAAATGTTGAGCCTTTTCAAGTTCATCTGGAGTTGAAAAGCGAGACCATGCAGATCCCTCTGTTAGCATAAATGCTAAGATGTTTCAGAATCCCCTCTGGGCATCCCTGGATAACGTTACGGGGTACATTCCTACAAATATTCAACAGTAGGAAGAGAAGTTTTTATTTCCACAGCAGTGTATAGAATCTATTCTTGGTATCTTTAACAAAAGCCACAAACTGCTCTTCACAAGCCACAAACCAAATCCCTCCATTGAAAGTCAAATGTGTGAAGCGAGCCACTATCTGACACACCTTGAAGAACCAGTCAGGGATTTTTTTGGAGCAAAGTTCTTATTGCTTTTTTGGTTTTGTTGCCATTGGACAATGTTGACTCTTCAAAGGTGGAGATTTCCCACAGAAACGTAAGAGGGATAATAAAACTTTCATTTCTCAGATCCAAATTTCTGGTCAAAAATCAGAGAGAGAGAAAGAGAATGACCACTTCAGAATGCCAAATAGCCATCCAAGGTGTATGACAATCAAGTTTATATCTGTACTGTGAACCAGGCAGGGATTTGACCTTGGATGTCCCACATCAAGTGCCCAACCATCAGCCTGTTCTTTGTTCCAGTTTTGTTTTCTCGTGTTTTGCTAAACACACTTTTTAAAGCGTTTGCCCTGGTGTAGAAGGGGAAGATACTGGAAATCTGTTTTATGAGATGGGAAAACATTGGGGTTTTTTGCTTAGTGCTAAGTCTGGGGCAGAAGAGAATGCTGCACATGTAATTAACCTGCAAGAAAAAACATGCCCTAAGTTATGGAAGCAGAGTTTGTAGGTTCTGGATATGGAAATTTGATAACCATTGGCAAAGTTTTTGGTATCAAAACTTGAAAGCAAGTGACCATTGCCATGTTTCACTGTGAACTTTTCATACCACCACTTTACCTATCCTGTTCTCTTTCAATCCCGTTTTAATGAGTGCTGAAATACCTTGTGCTTCAGGAGCTACCACAATATTCTGCAAGGAACAAGAATAACCCCCAAGGACATGTTCTCCTGTAGAAATATAGCTCTACATATATGGCAGTTTTATTAAAGGAGTGAAAACGGTATTGTTTTCCAATGATAGTCAGATGTGCTTAGGAGGGGCCAAAACCATTACAAGTGATTTAAAATCCAAGTCCTGTAATGATCTATGGCTAGAAGTCAGTACAGTTGTCTTAAAAACCAGATATCATGATCCATAGGCACCTTCAGTAGAGAACTTGAGCAGCAAGATCTGAATTACTAGAACATCATTGAGAAAACACTTTTGGAAATCCTTATAATAAAATACCAATGATAAAAAAAAAATTTCTTGTGATTTATTAGTTGGGCTAATAAAAGGTATAATCTCTGAACAAGGAGTTCTAGAGTTTTGCATTTCTTTTCATCTCAGACCAACACAGCTGCCAAATACATCCCTGAAACATGGACGATGCCAAATTTTAGCCAATTTTTGGATTTTAAACTTCACTGATGAACAAGCAAGATTTCTACACCACCCTGCCTCTCTGCCATCTGACACCACCAGGGAAGGAACCCTGCCTGATCCGCACAACAAAGAGCAACTCACAAAAGACACTCTCATGGACCCAGAGGGACAGACTTCCATCTTCATCACCCTCTGTGCAAAAATGAAATTTATTTCCTACCTATGGGGACTTTTTACCATCTTTAATTTTCCCTGAGCCTGATGAAGGGTGTGTGAACTCAAACACTTGCAGAAAAATATCTTCTCTTTTTCTTTTTTTTGTTGCGATTTCTTAGTTGGTCTAATAAAAGGTATCATCTCTGAACCAAGAGTTCTAGGGTTTTGCATTTCTTAATTATAAATATAGGAGTTTATCAGGAAATCAGATATAAAAAAGAACATTGCATTGAAAGACAGAAATAAGTAAAACACTTTCCGTGAAAGTGTGACATGTTCACTTTATGGGCAGACTAAATAACTCCTTTTATACAGCTCTATGCTTCTCAAACCACTTGGTGAGGATGAGTTGCTTCCTTTTGACACATAAACTAAGACACTGAGAAGTAAGGCCTAATTATTTCCAGAGCCTCCATGTAAGCTTTTTGAAGGTATCAAGCCTTAAGTATTTGGAAGTATGTGTAGCTCCTGTTGAAGACACCTGGAGTCAGGTGCTCAGCCTCTCAAAATCCATCCATAGGTATCTTAAATTGAAGACCCAAAAACCTCAGGAAACACAGAACTAAAGGATGGTCTTCAAAAACATAGGCCTTCAGCACTGTCAATGGAAATAATAATTGAAATAAGTAAGTGTACTAACTCAGCATCCCATCCAGATGCAACCGGATGAAAGGCTGGGAAATCTGGACCCACGTGATCCTCCATGTTGCACTGCATCACTGCTGGACTCAGGATTAGAACACGAGTCTGCGACTCAAAAAACTTCTAGACCACACTGCCCGATTCAAAGAATAAGACATGAATCCAACAGAGCAGCCAAATTCTCCATAAGCAGGGAGGATTTAAAAAAAAAAAAAATTGAGCAGCTAGATTATTTAAGATAGGGGAAGGTGATGCCAAGTGCTAGACAAAAAAAGTGCATCTTTTCTTCTTTACATAAGAAGTGTGCTGTGAGGAATTACACGGTTAAGGAATCTCTGTGGATCCAGAGACGGGAGGTCAAGCTTTGCTTTAGATTTGAACCAAAACCTGCTCCCCCTCTCCAGAGAGAGATAAGGCTTTAAAAAAATAAATAAATAAAAGGGGTCACCTGCTTATTTGGGTTGGGGAGTCAAAGGCAGCCGGATGCGACTGTCAGTACTCCACTCCATTGTTTGTTGTTGGCTACAGAAACCAAAAGTGCCTTATCGATGCTATTCCAGTGGATATTAGTGCTTGGAAGATCTTTGATATGGGAACAGTAGGGTCCAAATCACTGTGTGTATTATGTACATATGCAACAATTTGCTTAGCCACATACAAGTGCTATTGTTCTGCTGCTTCTGAAATATAGAGGGGGAGGGCCATTAGAAGAACCACAAACTCTTTAGAGGAATATTATTCAGTTCCTGCACATTACTCAAGCCAGCCAGGTCTTTCCATTATAGTTAACAATGCCTCAAAGTTCAGACATGCAAAAATTAATGACCATGTAAACAGGAAGATGAAGTGAAAAGGTTGCTAGTTTTGATATTAAAATAAGTTTGCTTATATTAAAAAAAAAAAAAAAAAATCACAAAAATTGAGAGAGTTCCAGACAAATAAATGGTGGGACCGAGTAGAAATATTTATAAACAAAGCCATACTGGCACCAAAGCAGAAGCCCTCGGATAATGCGTTAATCAACAGCTATAAGAATAGAATAAGAACCAACAGTGCTAACAGGCTAATGACAGGCTTCAAACCAATGTAATAAGGTCCTGCTAATTCCAACAGAGAGGGAGCTATCCAGTCTCCATTGAAATCACTGGCAAAACTCCTCTCCACTGCAAGGAAGGACTGAGCTCAGAGAGTTATGCAAAGCAATATAATCCCAAATTCATAGAATGAACAGCTGCTGGGAGGAATAGGGCAGATGCAGCTTTATCAGCCTACACAGGCAGATTGTTCATACTGCAGTCTGATGGCACTTTATTCCTGTGGTCCCTTCCAAACCCTGCTGGCATTTTTCCAATAAAATTCTGAGACAATGAAGCCAATAATTGATCCAAAATGGTATGCTCCAAAAACTAAGTGCATAAAGCAGACAAATTACATGGCATTAGCTGTATGAGTGAGAGCTGAGAGAAAAGAGGGAGCTCACACCTTAGCCCGGTACTGCAACCCGTTCTCCTTCTGCCCTGTCCCGACTCCAAACACTACCAAAGCCAAGAAAAATAGCATAAAGACTTTGGGCAGCAGAAGAAAACTCTGTTCTTAAGAGCCTCATTCTCCAACCTACTCAGCCTCCTTGGAAGTTAAAAGGACTTCAAAGAGCTCAAAATGTTGGCTTGGGTCTTCTAAAGCAACATACTTTAAAGTACTCAACCTTTTAGCCCATGGGCCAGAAGAGAGGTATGGGACCAATCCACTGGAATCAGGCCCTGGGGGCTAAGGGCCATCTGTCCCCCTTGCCTGCTGGGACCAGGCCCTAGGACACTGCACTGCCTCTGCCCAGTCACATGCACTGGGATTGGGCTCATGCTGCCCCAAGTGCTTAATACAGCACATAGGACTATGCCCCACAGGGCTCCCAGCAGATCCCTGTGCCAGATGACAACACTGGAGGCCATATGACCCACAGGCTGGGGGTTGAGCACCCCTGTTCTAAATTTCCCTATGCCCAAGCAAACTTTAGCTTTAGAGAGACAAACCCTCTCAACAGCATTGCCAGACCCAAGTTCATTTAACAAGGCTGCTTCCAGCATGCGTTTCCCCGTTCAGACTTGCTGAACCCCTTCTCCTATCTCCATTCACAGCTTGAAGGTCAGTGAACGATTAGGGGCCCTCCAGCATAGACTGTAAATAGAATACAGCCCAGCACCACGTCTGCAGCTTGCCTTCTGACCAGCCATGTTGAGAACCTTCAAATCACCTGTTTCATCAGGGAGCTTCAGCTTCACAAGATGCTCAGCTACAAATTCAACGAACTGCTCTTTATCTTCTGCCTGCTAGGTATGTGTGCGCACATCCCCCCCTCTCCCACCTTTGAAATGAAAAGCCTCCCATTGATCTACTTCTTGGCAAAAGCAGACAGACATAGTTAACAGAGCTCCATTACTACATAACTTGATGAATTAACACTTTTGCTGGCAGCCATTGGCACCCAGCAAGAGCAACGCATCTCATTTAGAAGCTATAGAGATGGGAAGTTTTAGCACTGGCAGCTTCCCACCTAGGGCATACAGGAACTTAAGAATCCCTGACAATAAGGAGGAAAAAATCAATAACATTAACAGAAACACAAAGGAACATTACTAGAAATAGAACAGTGGCTAACGCACAAAACTCTAAGCACGTGCTGATATCATCCCTCATCCTGTTTGGCACATGCCCTGGCTTAACTATATCATTACCTGACTAGTGATACCGTAGAACCCACTCAAGTTCGCAAAGCAATCATCGAGCTTCTAGTGAGGTACGGAGTGCATTTCTTGTAGTAAGGATGCCATTTATCAACATTACTGTAAAGTTATTATGATATTATTATATTAATTAGTAATAACTGGTTTTTCATGTGTCCCATTAGGAATGATGTCAGCTTTATGGATTTGCAGTCCTTGCCACTACAGATGTTTGGTTTATATCTGAACTCACTTGAAGTAACAGTCATCTGGTCTGTCCAGATAAGATGTTCTCTGTCCCTAGTCTCCTTTTAAACAATTTAAAAACACTGTTCCATTTATGCTACTTTTAATGCTCTATCCATCTTTTGTCCTAAATTTCACCTATGCCATTTAAAAACTGAGAGGCAAGGAAATAACAAGCTTACCTTCCTCCCATGGGTCATCTCACAGTTCACAAGGGAGTCAGGCCTAGTGTGTGGAGCCAGGAGTGAGGACCAGCAGGGTTGCAGGGACAAGCCACAGATTGGGAGCAGTCAAGGGCAGTCCGAGTTCCAAACAAGGGATGGGAACCAAAGCCAGGGTCCAAAACCAAACCAGAGGACTAACCAGGGATCAGAGATCACAAAGTAGACTAAGATCAAACCCAAGTCCAAACACTGAATGAGAGGCTTAACCAGAAATCAGGACTTCAGAGGAATGGACTGGAGCTGTTCAAGAACTGGAGACCAGTAAGCTGTGCAGCAAGGCTCAGGTGCTGGAGGGGTTCCTTAAAAAAAAACAAGCAAAGGGAAAGGGCTAGGGCTCATTAGGCTACTTATTTCAGCTGCAGGACAGAAGCCTCACCGAGTCATGCCCCTGCAGGCTAGGGCTCAGCTAGCCCTCGTTAGTTCATTGGGGCCATCTACCCACATATCAAGAAATGTGAGTTTGAGCCTTGCTTCACTCATACAAATGGCCCAGGCAACCCAATTATAAATAGGGATCTGCTTGTTCAAGCTCAAAAATCAAAGGCAGCTACACCACTACCTTGTGTGCCGCTACCTACAGAAACCTGTGTGCCTCAGCAACACTAGCCTGATGGGCCTTCTGACCTGACCTTTGACCTTTTCTTTAGGCAGCTCCCGTAGCTAGGAGTTTGGGCAGTGATTCTGATCTCACCACAAATGACTTCACTGGAATAATTTCAGATTGATGCAAGCGTAACAGATGTCAGGATATAGGCTTTCAGTGATCGCTGTTAAATTTTATAGAAAAGTCTGCATACATAATACATAGTTCTCTAACTATGGTAAAGATCATTAACCAAAGTATAATGCTTTACAGACCCTATGGAGAGTCAGGTGGGAACAGAAAGGACCTCTTGGGCATCTTTCATGCACACAAACATGGTGAGGCCGCAACTGGAGTGCTGCGTCCAGTTTTGGGCTCCACAATTCAAAAAGGATGTGGAGAAGCTTGAGACAGTCCAGAGAAGAGCCACGCGCATGATCAGAGGTCAGGAAAATAGACCTTACGACGACGGGCTGAGAGCCATGGGGCTCTTTAGCCTGGAAAAGTGCAAGCTCAGGGGTGATCTGATGGCCACCTATAAGTTTATCAGGGGTGACCACCAGGATCTGGGGGAACATTAGTTCACCAGAGCGCCCCAAGGGATGACGAGGTTGAACGGTCATAAACTACTGCGAGACCGTTTCAGGCTGGACATAAGGAAGAATTTCTTTACTGTCCAAGCCCCCAAGGTCTGGAACAGCCTCCCATCAGAGGTGGTTCAAGCACCTACTTTGAACACCTTCAAGAGCAAATTGGATGCTTATCTTGCTGGGACCCTATGACCCCAGCTGACTTCCTGCCCTTTGGGTGGGGGGCTGGACTCGATGATCTTCCGAGGTCCCTTCCAGCCCTAATGTCTATGAGAAATCTATATGAAATCTATGAAAAAAAACCCAGTGAGCATCTAGAACAGTGGTTGTCAGCCTGTGGTCCTTGGACCCCTGAGGGTCCACAGACTCTCTCTAAGGGGTCTGCATAAAGATGACTATGATCAAAAGTATGTGAATGTCCACCTTTACAATTCAAAGGGATCTGGCACCTCCATTTGAAATTTCTAAAGGGGGCCGCACATCCGTTCAAAATGTTTTAAGGATCCACAAATGAAAAGAGGTTGAAAAACATTCATCTAGAACTTTCTTACAATGCAGTCCTCTACGTGCATATTTCCTTCTCTCTCAAAAATTGAGAAAAATGCAAATTTGGCCCTAAATTCCATCCTGAACTGGATGCTTCATGTAAATTTGCTACAATGATTATTGTCTGTATTCCTCTCTCGTTTTGGCCCAGCTCAGAGGGAGAGAGAGATAGGGTATAAACTAATATTTAAGCCTAAGTTATGTAAGCCACCACTCCCTGGCTAT